TTTACTTTTTTTTTTTAATTTTTAAAACCTTTCCATATACTTTGGTTTTTTTGTCTTAAGAGTTTGACAATTAGATTTTAATGCATAGATTTTCGATGCCAGCTTTTCTTTTTCTTTTTTTTTAATTTTGTTTTTTCAAATCTTTCCATATTCTTTGGTTTTTTTGTCTTAAGAGTTTGATAATTAGGTTACCTTTCCTAAGATTTGTCCCATTTGTTAGATTTAAGCTAAAGGAAGGATTAGTATCGTAGGGTATACTAAGATCATCAACGACAATCCCAAATTTAAGTCTTTCAAGAAGTAGTAATCATAAATTAATACAAAGTATTACTTTCTTGTTCAAATTGGCATTAAGATTTCATTCTTGATACGTAAAGTAATCTTATGTAAACTTGCCTAAGGGAGAGATTATTAAATATTCGGGAAGTTGAATTAGATTAAATCTTTTAAAACACGTGAATGATTCATGTAAAGGAATCGATATATTTATATTGTAACATTTGCATTTTGATACGTGCATAGGAAGACGTTGAATCACTTACCTATTAATCAAGTAAATAGTTTATATAAACGAATTCACAGTGATATAACAAAGAAATGTAACTAATTGGAATGTGTTAAAGCGTAAGTTTTTTAAATCTTGTGAATTGTTTACACATAGGAATTCATAACTTTATGTAGCAGTGATAGCACCATCCACGTTTTGCTTTGTAAAGAAAAATTGGTTGAAAGATGGCTAGGATTAGCGCACATTCTTCTTTTTAAAATCACATGAATAACATTATCATAAAGGAATTCATATATTGATTTATATTGTGCCACCCACATTTACATCTCTAAATCACGTGTAGGGTTTACATAAAGAAATACAGTTTTGGAACTTGTATCATTAACATTTGAATGCATTTTTCATATTTGGTCTCTTGTTTTATATTGGGTTTACATAAAGCTTTGACTTTTCAACAGATTGTAAAATTGCGAGTTGACTTTTCAACATATTGTAACACTGCGAGTTAAACTGAAATGTGATTATAAGCATTTGAAACATGTAAGAAAAATCATATATGAGGTGCTCTAAATAAGTGGCTTCATTCATACTTCCTCCGTTCCTAATTAGATGACACGTTTCTTTTATCGCGTTTGCCAACACACAATTTTAACGATTTATTATCTCCATTATCAACATTGTAAAATTATAAAAAGTGAATATTAATAAAATATACATTAAGACGATTCAAACAAAATCCCACGTGATTATATTTTATCGTAGCTACAAATCACAAAAGCTAGTCAAAGTGTTGTTTGTGAATAGTGCAAAATCAAACTGTATCATCTAAAAGGAACGGAGGAAGTATATATATATACATATAAAGTTTCAAGGGGGGGGGGGGGGGTTAGAGTACGAGCACAAATCTCAACATCTTGAGATCATTTTCAAGGCAGAATAAACTGATTCACTTTTTAAAAACGAGACTTTGAAATTGCAGCGCAAAATATTGAACTTAAAACGGTTCCCGTTTAACAAAAACATCATTTCATCATAGCATAGTACGCTACAAATTCTGATTAATTCACTTAAACCGATCAAGTTTAAACAGCACATACCATAGTCCTACAAGACACATACTCCGAGTAGCAATACAGATCTTCTCACTAGACACAACATCCTTCACCATCAACAAGCAGTATGCACTTGGTACTAGTCTTCACCGTAACTAGAAACCTGTTTCCTACATTCAACTTAAAGGATTAGTGAGTTAATTAAGTAACCTAATAATATGATTTTTATATTTCACTTCCACCATGGTGAGATTGGACAAATAGTTTCGCATTCTTCGAGCTTGTCCTCCTTTGCCTTCACTAATTGGAAGAAATTCAGAGTAACTTTTGCCCCTAAAAAATGTGGACAATTCTAAGTAATTTTAAGGGTACAGAGTGAGCCATAAAGAGAAATAATGGAGACGTTATTAGATCGACTTTAACCAACTAATCTAGCTAACGTCTACTAATAATCACTTAACTACATTTAAACCAAGACAAAGTGAGAAACACACCGAAATATTTGACCAAAAGGTTATCACAAGAAACAACTCAAAGTCTCAAACAAGCACAGGTGCACAACAATGAGTCAATGAATATGTAAATATTTCGTATAAGGATAAATTTTTTTAAAGGATTAATTTTTTAAGTTTATTTTCTTAGATATAATAATCATATGCGTTAGATAGCCAATATTAATTTTTTAAGTTTTTTTTCCTTAGAAATAATAATCATATGCGTTAGATAGCCAATATACATTCACAATTGCCGTGCATCGCTAATAATAATGATAAGGATTAATATTTTTTAAAAGGATTAATTTTTTAAGTTTTTTTTTTTTTTCCTGTGAAACTTGATAAAATTTGATATATTTGCCGTGGGGAATACATTATTGCAATACTTTAGTTTCGGGAAGAAAAAAAAATAAAGGTCCCTGCTTTAAATTATTTACATAAGTCTTGGAATGTGCTATTCGTTTTGATAATTTTGCACTTTTAATGGTGTGATGAAATTTAACGTCCAGACAAATCAAATACTAATAGTACACAACAATTTTTTAAACCAAAAAATTTTGGGCACCCAAACTTATTACATTAGCTCATTTGGACTGTGCCCAAAGCTGGTCAAATGGGATAGCATTGATTATATGTAAATTAATGGGCTGGCTGTGATAGCATTGGACTGATTTTGACTGATATAGGATAGGACTGATGTAGCCATGTATTGACCATACCAATACACTACTGGGCCTCATTTCGATCATATTGTGCATTGCAGGTCCAATCACCCATGTCCAACATCAATTTCACGGTCATGTACGTGGCTCTCTAGATTATCGGGAAAAAACTCTTCCTTTATCATTTAAATATTTCTTAGTATATTTTTTTTGGATTTCTTATACTCGTAGTATTGAATTAATAAATTTATTTTTTCTTATATTTTTACTTTATTTTTTTCATTAAAATAATTCAATTCGTGGATTATAATCTACGTGGCATTAAAATTATAGATATATCAAATCTAATTCGTTACTTTTATTTAAGTGGCGACATAATTTTTTAATTCAAAAATAAAAAAATACAAAGATATATCAAATCTAATTCGTTACTTTTATTTAGGTGGCGACATAATTTTTTAATTCAAAAATAAAATACAAATCTTTCTTCTTATTGGTCGAAATAAGTATATTTCTTACGTGGCGCATTCGATTTAATTCGTGGATTATAATCTACGTGGCATTAAAATTTAGATATATCAAATCTAATTCGTTACTTTTATCTAGGTGGCGACATAATTTTTTAATTCAAAAACAAAATACAAATATTTCTTCTTATTGGTCGAAATAAGTATATTTCTTATGTGGCGCTCCGAATGCTCTCCAAAAATGCCTACTTGTTTATATATATATATTTGATTTTAAATCATTATAAAGCCCGGTCATATATTTATTGGACGGATCTGACTCATCTATAAGTTTATAATTGGGGCAAGTTTTTTATTTTTTGTTTGATTATTGAAACAAACTAGGGCAAGTTAGGGCTTTTATTTACCCATTGAATTAATTGCTCTGTCAGACTGACAATAAGGAAAATGGAACTATAAGCGAAATGAAATGAAAAACGAACGAATACGACAAGTATTGTAAATTTACGATAGATATCAAAATACAATACATAATAACACGAAGTACAAACTACTTTAATGGATATTGTCAATAAACCTGCTCAATGGGTTGAGTCAATGGAGGGGTCCCTAGGGTTAGTAGAATTGGTAAATTGTGGGTCACATTAAAATATAAGTGGGGCGGGTCGGGTCGAGACCATTCATTTTTGCCCCGACCTTTTTACTTTTGAAAAAAATTACATCTATTTTTTTATTTTTCGTAAATAAACTGGTATATGACTCTTTGACTTTTTATATCCGTTATACCAAGTGTTAAACTATGGAGAGAAACAAAAAAAATTAGAGAAGAATCATAGAAATATGGTTTATAATAGATTGAAAAAAAAAAACAAGTCGAACTCAGATTTAATATTGGAGAATTAGGTTAGGTCTCGTGCCACGCACGGTAATTTTCAATAACTATTTAACACTATATTATATTTTTTGACTTTCATATGTTATAATCATATCAATTGAATGTTGAAAATCAACAAAAATGGTAGGATAAATCACACTAATAATAATAACATGTGTCGTTCTTGGAAAGCAAGTATTATTGAAGTATTCATAGAGTACTAATCGATTGAAATTCTAATAATTATAAATTATTCAAGGAAATAAAAAAAAGCATCATTGATGATTTGATATTCGCATTTCATTGTTTAAGCTTGTAACTTCTATTACATAATTAAAAATAATCTAGAAAAAATTATATAATCTTGTTGTAATAAACGTATATAGTACATAATATTTCTTTCCTTAAAAAAAAAATCCATAACAAATTAGGTTAAGAATATTACTTTTAATTTTTTTGCTAAAGTTTATAGTTCTCAATATGTTTTATTTTGGTAAGATTCAATGAAATCTTCTATTATACTTTGTAGGAAATTAATATTTTAAATATTCAAAAAGATTTGTTTTTTAAGTAAATTTTTTTTTTCTCAAAAAAAAAAAAAAAACCTAAGGACACACCAAAAGATGACACGTGTCATTGCTGGCGTGTCTTTTAGTATATAAGTTAAATTATTATTATTACTATATAGTTATTATTATAGTTATTGATGAAAATAGAGCTGTTTGAATTTTGATATTACCCTCACATCTCAACATACTTTTTGCTAATGTGATTAATATATAGGTTTATTTTTAATTTTAAATCATTATAAAGGCCGGCCCATTTATTTATTGGACGGATTTAATTCATTTATAAATGAGGGAAGTTTTTTATTTTTTTATTTTATTATTGAAACAAACTGGGGGCAAGTTAGGGCTCTTATTAACCCATTGAATTAATTGCTCTGTCAGACTATCAATAAGGAAAAAAAATAATATAAACGGATGAACATAGCCCTGTGCCCCTGTCTTGTGCCTCCTCCTCCTCTCGCACCTCCCTCTCTCTCAGTTCTCCGTTGAAGCGCACTCAACGTCGCACTTGACGTTCGTCATTACAAACTATTTGTTCTCAGCAGCTTCTGAGGTAAATTGTCTCTTTTAGTAATCATATCAATTTCACAATCTAGGGTTCATCTTATTTAATTTATGTCAGTGCAGTAAAATTAGGGTTCGAAAATCTCAACTATTGGTTCTAAATACTAAGATTATGAAAGATCATTACAAGCGACTATGTTGCTAGAAAAGGAAATTATGAGCCTCATTGATTCTCATATCCCTGAAATTATGTTTGTTTGATAATTGAATCAAATTTGGTTGCTTTAATGTTAGGATTGAACTATGAAATTAGACCTCTTCTTCCTGAGCCCTGGGTGGCCGCCCCTTCTGCCCTCTGCTTATTTTCATTCATTGTGTTGCTTTCATTTTAATTTCAATTAATAAGTTAATCGTACGATAATCATTGATTAATGTAGTTGCTTTCTTTTAAGAATTCAATTTTTAGCATTACAATTAGTAATTTAGTTGCATTCTTTCTAATTTGATCTACTAATTCAACTAAATTAATGTAGTTTCTTTGTAATCTGATTCATTATTTGATTTTTATCATTTTCATCAATAATTTACTAATGTAATTTTTGAATTGGCCAATAAAATTATTAATATCTTCAGGTGATGATGGCATCAAAAATTAATGAATCGCAACTAAAAATTTGCCTACTAGTGGAGCATGGAACTGATGAGATGCCTCATTCGCTGTATACGATTGACCTACCAAGTGATCTGGAGCGGCAAACGGAGGTCGATTCTGAGGGGTTTCAAGAGTTATTACCCTTGGTAGTCTTCCCTCAGCGTAAGTTTCTGTACCAGACTGAATTCGTTAACCTCGGATCGAAAGTATACATCTTTGGAGGTGTTACATCTGATAAGCTTGACGAAGACCTATATAGAGCTGTACATGTCCTTGACATGAACGATCCTAAGCATGGGCTGCGCCGAGTTGCTTCCCTGAATGCCTCCAAGGAATGTCCTTGTGCGTTTGTGGCTGATGGTATGATCTACACGCTTGGGAAGGCCGAGAGAAAAGAAGCATCTGGCAAGTCAGGTTGTTTCGAGCGTTATATTCCTCGTATTGACAGGTGGGAAGTCCTTCCTGACCCCCCACTTCCGTGGGTTGACCTTTTTACAGTTGATTGGACTGGTCGTGTCACGGTTGTGGGTCGTGAGGTCTTCATAGGGAGTTATGGCAGGTATGCCATTTTTAACTTGGATATGTTAGAGTGGGCTGAACCGCCATCTGCATCTCTGGCTGAATGTTTCCCTTATGGTGCGCTTTATATCGATGGCTTCCTCTACCACCTAAGGGGAGGAGACCTTTGGAGGAGACCAGGTGCAGTTTGGGATCCTCACTATGTTCCCAAGCCTCTACAGATTGTTAGGAGAGGCCCCTTTCCCAAACATGATGGTTTTGGTAGTAGCAGCAAGGATATTCTCAAGAGCGCCTCTTTACAACCTGGGAAAGCGCAGGTCATGTCTACAGCTGCCGAATTAGCCGGCGAAGACAATACCTTCTTCACACATGGAAATTTTGATCCTTGGCGACTTCTCCTCCACTTGGGGGGCCCTTACTTCTGCTATCTTGTCACTGCCCAAAATATAAACTTGAAATGCCAAACGGTTGATTACTACACTCGTTTTGTAGGGATCATGATCTTTAAGAAGCCCCAAGGGGAAAATATCAATATTAATGAAAGCTGTCTTGTATCCTCGTTGATCTATAGAATCCACACCCCGTTCCGTAACTTTGCATATTGCCTCCGCTCCTGCGTTCTTGGTGATGTCCCGGAATGTAAGTTTTGTCTTCTCCCTTTGTTGTCTTAAAAATTAATGTGGTCTGATTGGTGGATTGCATGAGGCAAAAGAAGATTGCTTTCTTTAATATGTAGCTGCGATGGCTTTAGTTGTAGTCTGTAAAAAGTTGCCAGCTTATCTTTGAATTCATGTTATTTTTTTTAAAATCTTAACTTACACTATCAGATTTTTAATGTCTAAGGAGTAAGGACCTTAGTATGAGCCTTGGTTGCATGGACTTGAATACTTGAGCTTTGCTGGACTATGAAAGAACTTTTTGTAATTGAACAAAACTTCAAATGGGTTTTTTTATGTTTGGGCTCACCAATTACTATAACGAGTTTGAGACGAGCAATGGCCCAATTTGACAAGCACGTTTTGAGCTAGAGGTTATCGAACTTGGCGAGTATAGATCACGTTGTGTTGAGCACAGTTCAACTACGAACTACTCACTCAGCAAGAATCAGAAGCTGTCTGGTTACTCTGTCGGGTACATTGTGATAAGTAATGATATGAGTTTATGCATTGATAGGCCTTTCAACATGATATCTTCTGATAGCTGTGCTAGAAGCATGATCTGCCTGTGCTGCTGTGCATTGCTATTATTATTGCTGTTCTGACGTCTGAGATGTCAAATGTGTTCAATACTGCAGTCAATATGTATGGTTTTGCAATTGAATTGCTGATTTGTGTTCAGATTAAGATTTTTTAATTGCTATTGCATGAATTACATACACTATGGTTGGATAGCATTTAGCAACGTGGAGGGAAAGGTAGGGGAAGGAAAGATGAAACTTTCCAACCCCTTCCCTTCCACCATGGGGTGTCAAGTAAGTGATTTTGAATTTCACCCTCTTTCTTTCTTTGACTGGCTTAAACCAAGGTAGTCTGTGACGAAATAATTTTTAAAGGTATTTTTTAGAAAAAGAGGGAAAAAAAGGAAGATAAAAGGGATTTTTCCTCAACTACCCCTGAGGTTTGGCCTAATCCCCCATATACCCCCGAATTTTAGGAATTGCCTTAGGTACCCATGAACTTTGACCAATTCCCTCATATGTCCTTACTCTAACAAAATAGCCAACGTTGTTGGTCTTTTTATACCTTTTAGTCTTTTACCTCTCTTTCCTTCACTTGGCTCCCTCTTTCCTCTGTTTTATATCTTGACATGAGTACATGGGGGATTCAGCCAAACCGGGTACCTTTGAAACATCTGTAGTGACAAAATCCATTTAAATATTTTTATCTTAAGGGTAAGAAACTAAGAATCTCTTTGGATGCCTAATATCATTAAATTACCATGTTAAAAAGTCAGGGGCATTAAAGTAGTTTATAAATTGTAAATCGTTATTTTTTTTTCCTTAAATTTTGTATTCCATCTGTTCACTTAAGCATGATTGTGTTACATAATAAGGTGTTAATGGTGTTTATTGAATGAAATTGTTTGTTATTGATTACTACATAGCTTGAGGCCCTCTCTCATTATTCTTGTTTACATTTGTGTTATTAGTTGCTGTTGAACAGTTTGTTTTCTCCTCTTTATATTCACTGTCCATGGGGTATATTAAACTTATACTTCTACTGAAGATTGGGCATATATCAATCAATCAAAGATTGGTGCATATACAATTGTTAAATTTATAATTACAATCATGTTTGGTGGTCTTGAGTAAATCTTATCTGGCGTATCTTAAAATGCAGCCTGGAATAGAGTGGTGCCAAACAAAAAGCAGGAAAGCAGCAGGAGGACTAAAAAGAATGAGCTCTTTCATATGGCTGCGACCCAGCAGGGTAACCGTCTTCAGGTTGACAAGGATGTGTCAAAGGAATCTAAAACAGAGAACAATGTCCGTGTTGGTGATGTTGAGGAGGTTGGCAACCTTAAGAAGGTTTTGGCAGGTAGAGTACTAATATCGTGTTGTCCTATTCTTTTGTCCTTAATTTTCAATTCCATTCGGTACAGTTGAAACGAACATGGCTTAACTCTCTACTTGGCAAGTTTTATTCTGAATGTGTTATTGATAATAGTGTGTTTTTTGTTGCAGCTCAAGAGGAAGAACTCAGCAGGCTATATTCTGAACTGGCAAAGAAGGATACACTTTTGAAGACCTATGAGATGGAGTTGGTTAAGAACAAACCTTCAATTTAGTGTATCGTGAAATTTAGATGGGCGCTTACAGTGGAATGAGATAAGAAAGCAGAAGTATCTTGTTTATTGTTAATAATGTTAAGCTTGGAAACACCGTGAACTTTCACTGTTATAACTATTGTGCTACTACTTTATTTTTTGTTCTTGATCTTGCCTTGACAACTGCATTATCCTACATACGTAGTAGCAAAGACTATTTTCTTGCCAAAATCTTTGTATAATATGATTTCCTTTTTTGTCATATATTTGGGTAATGCCTTTTAGGTTTCAATGACTTAATCTATTAGCATTCTTTTATTAAGTAACCAATGACTTAAGGGAATATGATCTATAGCTTTGCTTTTTAGGTTTCAAAAATAAAACCAAAATCTCACTTAATAATCAAAACAAAAATCTGAAATGAAGGAATTCTTTTCTTGATTCTTCCCCTTATTTTGCTTTCTCAAAGGAAATAATACTGTATTTTTACGCTTAATCAATGGGGTCATGGAGAACTGCTTTTACAACACCGTTCATATCATCAGAAGTAAACCCATCATCCTTCATGTAGAAAAAGTGCAGCACCTTGTTATTTTCGAGAACACTTCCCTGCAAACTTTTGGAACTACACCTACATCGCCTCGCAATACTATTCTCAGCAGCTCTCTTCTTTTGTCTTCAATTGTCTGTCTTATTTCTCTAATAGCATCTTCTTTGCTTATAGTTCCATTTTCGCGAAGCATGTGTAAGGACACTGCGTTTAGCTTCCCTTCCTCTGCTTCTCTTTGAGGCAACAACCAAGATAATAATCTTCTTCTAAGGGTGTGTTTGGTTTGATATAAAAATGTTTTTATGGAAAATGATATTCCTTCCTCCTCTCATCCGGGAAAGCTAGTATGCAATTGTGGTTTTCCTCGGATATATGTTTTCCATGAAGACTAATTTTTCATTGAATTTGTTTTGCATCAAACCGAACAGAACCTAAATAAAAGCAACCAAACTAATCCTGTTCGGAGGTGAGTATGACTAAAGTGACTTGCCTGAAAGCCTTGATAATCGTTGAGGAGGCGGCCGCAAGGGCTCATCAACTTGAATAGATTATGGTACTCATTACTTCTAATAACCTCCTCAGATTGCCTGGGACCGATGAAATACAGAGCTGGAAGAACGATTGGCCCCAAGGCAAAAGATATGTAGCCATTGTCCATGTATTCTTCCTCTGTAGGCACTGATTTGTTCCTCGCCATCTCTGCTTCTTTCCACATTGACTTTACGAGGCTCAACCACTGTCACACAATCAGTCCCAAGGAACAGATTAAATATTACCCCATCTCATGGCTTGCGTATTATGGAAGAACAACAAAGAAAATAAGAAAGCTTACAATCTCAACCAAATGATTAGTTATGTTACGATCTTGCCAAGTACATGCTTTTTCAGCAATTTCATAAATTGTGTCCTGGACTGCTGAGAATATAACGTGAACATTCTCTGAACAGGTTTGGATACTCTTACCTGCATCCCACCTGCCAATTTCAGCTGGTTTTCAATCACACGACGCAATTTAGGGGGAGAAGGAGTTGTGGCTTGTGCGTTTAGGGAGAAGTGGGGTAAGAACACATACTTGTCAAACAACTGAATAAGATTTAGTTGCTCCTCTTCTGAGCTGCCAACATCAAAGAAGTCATCAACCACAGTAGTCAGAACACCGTTCTTTGCCCATGAAATGCGTGCATCAGCTAGTTCAGGGGAGGAAAAGCTTGCAGCAGCAGAAAAGTAGCAGTAGCTAAGCTTCTGCCTAGAAAAGGCTAACTGGTCCAATTTACACTCTGCAAGCCATCTGCTTTCACATGGAAAATAATTTTGGAGCGCTTTATGAGAAGTTGAGAACATAAGAAAGCTACATTACAAGTGTAAAAGAAGTTAGGGCAGTTTATACCTCTGAAGTTGTTTAAATTCCTGGAAATGTATGATTGGCAATAGCTAAAATCATCCTTTGCTAGTTGTAGGAAAACTTTATTGCAGAAGTTAGTGCAGCTGAGATATGAAGTGTGTTATCATGAACACTTGAGAACAGATAGGCAATTACAAAAGAAAATATTATGAGTCAAACATGATACAAATTCGGAAATTTATCAGACTACTGCTACCTTAAAGAAGACTTCAAAATCCTTATTTCATCCAAGTTATTTTGTTCAATGCATTTTCTGCTTTGCAAGCGCTCTAAATTTGCATGGTAAGGGCTCTTTAGGCTGTCAGCAACCTGTGAAACAGAAAGGTGAGCCTAAGAGATGCCCTCTGAGTGTTCTTTAGATATGGCATGTATTTATGAACATATTACCTCTTGGATAAGATTTTTTCTGAACCTGTCTGCTTTTGTTGAATATTCAGAGATTCTCCCTTCAAGAAAGTGCCTTGAATTTGTTGCTTGCTTCTCTAGATAAGATTCATGAGCATATATTCTAAGTTGAGATGCCCTAAAGAGTTCCAAAGCAGATCTAATGTTCTCCGAGTGTCCTCCGAATTGGTGAAAACAGCAGTCTTCATCATGGACTTCAGCCAACAGTTCTATTCCAACAAAATAATATATGCATGTTCATTCAAGAACTAGAATATATTTTCACCACCAAAATCATACATAGAATATCTTATTACCATTGAGATCAAACACCAGGTTAATGATAAGTATAAAAACATACCTGAAGATACATCATATCCATCATCACGTAGCAACCGAAATGCCATCCTAGTGGTAATGACATCAGAAAATATCTCTTCATTTCCTTGCTCCCACAGTCTGCCCATTAACAATAAGTTCACAGATTATAAAATATACCAACTAGAACTAACTTTAATGATATACTACATACTTTCATCAAATGTTATTTGATCAACACGTATACTACATGCTCAAATCTTACCTGAAAGTTTCATTCAACGCAGAAGCAATCTCTTCTTTAAAATACCCATTGATTCCAAATTTTTGAAGGGTGTCAACCATATGAAGCCGGAAATATGCATCAAGTGGGTATGCAGTTGGGACTGAAAATAAAGAAAGACCGTAAAATTAAAGCATAATACATAAATGTTAATACTGTAGAGATAGCAGAAATAAGCAGGTAACCTGCATTTGCAAATTTCTGCAATACTGAAGACAGATAGCTGTAACAATTTGGATCTTGGAGCGCAGAAAAAGCAGCTGCTGTTGTGGATGGTGAATTAAACAAAGAGCCATTCTTCCTTTGATAATCCATTACCATTTTCCAGTCTTGTGATCCTCCCATTGCTTCCGAAATATATGCCAAAAAAAAATTCCTTGCCTTGGAGTCCTTTCCACGGACAATAATACAGAGAAATGTTAAGTTTTTGTTCTGAAAGAACAGAGCTTCATCATCCAGTATAAGCTGCACTTGCATGGATTCTGACAGCTCTTAAATGAGAACTGTAAAGTGTAAACATCACAAGAATCACGGCTATAAATAAGAGAACTGGAATGAAACAGTATACCTTTTGAGCTCTAAATTCTTCTTTCGAAGCACAGCATCAATATCTGAAGGCGCCAAATGAAGATTCACTTCCATATTAAGAGCCTTCTCAATCATACTAGGAAAAATGACATCAAATCCAATCGGAGAGTGCTGCTCTTCATCCATTGCCGAAGCAAAATGTGACACAATAAAGTCAAGGCCTGCCAAAGGGAGGAAAAAAAATTAAAAATAAAATCAGTTTCTTCCTCTAAGAAATTCATGCAGCAAGTCCCTAAGAGTTTACCCTTTGTCGTCTGTTCTTCTTCTCCTACAGACCATCTTTTGAGCGCGAGGACACAAGCCAGTGTGGAAGAAAGCGAGTCTTTGACTAGAGAGCTATCTCGATGATCAAGAACACCCCAAGAACCATCATGCAGCTGGTTTTCCAATATCCAGTCAGTACTCCCTGGAAAACAAGGAGTGCTTGGCGCTGCAGGAGAAGGGGCCATTGCTACCCACGCAGTGTCATAAGCTGATATTGAAAGTTCAGCTTTTCGAAACATGTTTCGTATTCTTTCTTTGGCATCCTCAAACCTCTGATTATCGAGTTTGACATATCTAATTAGTTTACATACGGAGTTTGCAAGAATGTAGAATAATGATTACACTACCTGTATATCAGCATTAGCTGTTCTGTTTATAGAACAAGATATTCTACAAAACTCTGGCCAAGTAATATTAACAAAGTCAGAGATTGTGCCAGAAATCGTCTAGTTACAGTAATAACGTAATACAATAAATGTACATACGCCATAATTATAAGGCCTAGCAATGTCCTATATGACTATACACACGTGCACACATAAAAGCAAAAACAGGAATTAGATAAAATTATAAAAATGGGAAAAAGAGAGAAGGGGAAAAACCTGGTGGGAGACGAGGACAGCAGCTGAGTTGGTGGGGAGAAACAGAGAAAGACATGAAGAAACTTGGCAATCAGAAACCCAAAAACGGATTTCAAAACAGAAAAACCCTGAAACTGATCAAAATTCAAATTTTCTGAATTTCTTGGAATTTGATACTTGGTATTTATGTTTGACACTAGAAAACAAATTTTATATAACTATTTTTTTTGGGGGGGGGGGGGATTTTGTGTTCTTTAATATTACCCCATTTCCAAAAATGGTAGTGTATCACATTTTTGGAACAGTTACTCAAGTATAATTCAAACACTGTGAAATGAAAGTGATAAAGCTCCTCTTTCTATTGTCTGCTTTCCTACTTTTTCTTTGGCCTTATCATGTGTGACTTGTTTCCAAAATGAGGGAAAGGTGGGATAATAGATGATTTATTACCATAAAATTTTGATCCTTTTCTCACAGAAGGAAAAAAAAAATTACAGTAAAAGAAAAGATTTACATTGTCGAATTTACCTTAATTACACTTCATTATGAAAAATTAAGTAGAAAAAGGTTAATGCAATCAGATAAGTTCATATCAAGTGGATAGAACGTTAGGTGAATCCTTCAAATCATATTTTCTGATGGAATCATTATATAGCAGCAACCAATATCACTTTCCCAATTTTTTGTTGATTAATTAAGAAGAAATTGAATATTAAAACGTTTGTACCCTCATATATATCCCGTAACAATAAATAAATAAAAAGAAGTGATAATTGTAAACAGTATCGCCTTAAGGAAGTTAAAAGTAAAAGATATTCAAGCAACATTCTAGAGTCAAAAAAGAAAAAAGAAAAAAAAATAAACAGCTTTCACGAAGGGTTCTCCCTGTTTGAGGTGCTCAAATTCGAGATTTCCAGAAAACGAAACAAATTACAAACATATTCAGTAAAATGCACTGGAAAGAATGTCAATATGCCTTCTTACAAATCTTTCGTTCTAATGCAGAGCAACAAATGTATTTTGGTGAAAATTGGAGTTGCAAGTTTAAAACTCCACAGGAAAGAGATGATACACAATTCCTAAGTGAATCCCCTGCTCCTTGGAAGAAAAAATAAGAAAGAACGAAATCTGCAATAAAGATACCAACCAGAGATAAAACAACAGCTGAAGTAGTGGACTCCCCAACACCCTTAGCACCACCAATGGTTGTTACACCCCAAGCACAGCTCACGATTGCAATTATTCCACCAAAAACCTGGGACTTCATCATGGCACTAATAATATCCCATGACCGAAGTGCTCTCCGAGCAGAGTCCAAAATCATTATGTACCTAACTCCGTAAACACTATCAGCCAAGAAGGCACTAGCTGCCATCCCCACTATGAAACACATCAGGGTCAAAAAAGGAAGAGCTACACAAGAAGCAATTACCCTAGGTATGACAAGGTAATCGACAGGATTTGCCCCAAGAACTCTCAGTGTGTCAGTCTGCTCAGAGACCTGCATGGTTCCGAGCTCCGCAGCAAAAGAACTTCCAATACGACCTGCCACCACAGTTGATGTAACCACAGGGCTTAGTTCACGAGAGAAGGCAAGAGCTAAGACCCCACCAATGGATCGGTTCAGCCCTAACCGGGTGAATTCCCGAACAAATTGGATAGTAAATGCCATCCCCACAAAAGCTGATGTCAGAAGACACACCCCAACTGATTTAGGACCAACTCTTTCCAGCTGTTGGAGGGTGTTTTTCCAGTGGATTTTACCCTTCAGAGCCCTATATATTACTTGCCCTGCCAAAATGAGAACTGATAAGCCCCTCCACAAGTACCTAGGAGGTGACCAGTTGGCAAATAAAGTCTCCATCTCAAGAGTGGGAGAATGATTTATGCTTGAGCTTTCATCGGTTGGTACGGCATCTGGAAAATTGTCATTGGAATTAGGAATGGCTGACAATGCTGTACGTTGGATGGGTTTTAGTGAATGAATAAATCTTCCAGCAGCATGAGGTCTTTGAGCACAGTGAGAGAAAGCAAGTGTTCTGATTTCGGTCCATTTAAAATGTCCAGTAGTATCTCTCCTGCAGTTGGTCCAGCAACTCTGGGACTTAAAGCTAAAATTCAAAAAGGAAAATAATTCAATCATTAGGCACAGGAAACTACAACAGTAGTCTATGAACTACTTCAAAATGGAACAAAGAGGAGATACCTGCTAGAAAAGCATGGACTGCAATAACTGAACTGTATGCATGATCAGTCCTTCTATTCAACTCTAACACAGTTTTATTCAGAAAATAATGCCCTAAATCCCTACTTTTCCCAGTAGAGGTGGTGGAAAGGCATAACGCCTCATGCCAGAACACTCATTTAGCTGGTAACCAGGCAACCTAAATCAGTTGATAGTAACAAAAAAGTTCGAAAATATAAAGATGATGATTCATAGAATGGAAGTGTGCAATTTTGAAGGTTGAGAAGCCAACACTAGCTATTCTAGTACTAAGCTAGATGTAACAATACGATCAAACAATCTAAAGTGGCCTCAAAACTTTAATCTGGACAGTTAAACTTCAAAAGGGAGATATTTGAGTGTCTTCAAAGATAAAAGCACTAGTCAAATGAAAAAGAAGCAGCCTGAACACAAGAATTAGTGTGTTTTTTTTTTTTTTTTCTCCCCAAATTCTCTTCAAATAAATTTCTCTCAAATTTGCAACTGGCAGTCTGGCACACTATCTCTGGTACATTAGAGCTTTTATACTGATGGTTTGGCCACAACACTATCACATGAATACTCAATGATAATTGTGATTGTCTGACAAAGCCCACAAATTGACAACACAAAGATTCATAATAATGGAAAGAAGCCAAGAGCATCGTGAATACTTAAAGGAGTCCAAAACTTTAGAGCAAAATCATGATCAGCTTGTTAGAGTTTTCTTTTGCTAACAATTAGAGCATCATTTAACACTACACCTGGATCCTTAAATCCATTTCCCCAATAGCTAAAAGTCCTTTCATGTAGTCAATTAACTTGCTTTTTAGCTGTAATTGCTCCTAACGAATTCAGCCTATGTAACCACCTATTTCCATGGTAGAAGGCCAGAAGCTAACAAGCAGTGTATTTAAAAGTTTACATTCAACTTGCAGTTCGGAAAGAGTCAAGCATGAGGTAACATTATAAACAGGGATCATGCTAGGTAAATAATACTCCTACTTCAAAAGGACTCTAACTCCGTATGAGCATCAAAAGACTCGATCATGCCCAAACCCATTGGAAGCAATTAAGATACTTCATCCAAAACTAATCAATATCAAGGACCTGCCGTCCATCTATTCCAATATCCTCCGGTAAAACGAGTAATAGGTTGTTAACAACCAATTAGACTAACCCTACACATAATAAACCGTTTAATCCCTCTCTCAATCAAATCCCTAACACAAAATCAACTTTTGACTCCTACCCAGATATCTAATTTCACAAATTCCTCTTAGTTTCTATATTTTCACTGATTAAAACCTCATTTTCTCCATAATTAAAGCTCTAATTAGTACTTTTTCAGCCACATTGAGTCTATCTCTCAAATAAGAATTGCTTCTAGCTATAAAATAAGTACTCACAACAATCAATTCACACACGCCAACAATTTATGAAATACAATAAAATTAATAAAATACAGACAAAGGACAACAATTAGTTCAATGACAAACTGGAAATCTAATTCTGAACAACATTATATCAAAATTGAACTAATGGCGCATAATTACTAACCAGTAACAATTTATAGAAAAAAAAGAGAGAGAGAGAGAGAATAATCGAATTATGGAATGATAAAGAAGATCGGATAATTCGAAGGTGATACATACCTTTTCTTTGTCTGCTGTCGTGAAGTTGATTCAAAGTATTAAATTTTGATTTATTAGAAATTTAAAGATTGGAGTTATTTGGAAAAAATGGAGGAATACAGTGAACTCAGAACAGCGAACTGAGAGGAGTGAGAAATTTGACGAAGAAATGAGATACGGAGTAGGGAGGAATTGAGGATGGGGAAAAATGATATCGGGAGATAAAATTTTGTTTCATTTTTTTACTCGTACGTTACACAAACATGGAAATGAGCAAATGGCTGAAACATATATTCGTACATAAGTATATATTTATCAAAGGTTGTATAAACATTGAGATGTTTAATTGACGTTTACAAGTTTAGGATTATTTAGGAAATGATGTAACTGTCAAAATGTATAAGAAAGTCAACTACTCCTAAAATAAAAGGATAACCTTACATCCAAGCCAATAATTGCAACAAGAGGGGAAAGGAGAGGAGAGATGAAAGAGGCGGACAGAGAAAGATGCGGACATAGAAGAGAGGAAAGAAGGAGAAGAAAAGAGAGGAACGAGAAGAGAAGAAAGAAGGAGAAGAGAAGAGGCGGACCAGGAGAGAGAACGAGAGGAAAGAGAAGAGAGGAAAAAAAGAAAAGGGGCGGAAGAGAAAAGGGGGTTAGGGTTAGGGTTTATAGAAAGATCCTTTTTTAAAAAATTTATATTCCGACGGAAAATCCGTCGGAAATGACCTTTCCCGACGGAATATTCCGTCGGAAAGTACAAATATTCCGACGGATTTATATTCCATCGGAAATTTTCGACGCATTATTTGAATTTGTCGGAAATATACGACCAGAAGAAAAATCCGTCGGAAATTTCGAATTTTCCAACAGAATTACATGTCCGTCGGAACCAGTCCGTCGGAAATGGGTTGTTTTCTTGTAGTGGTTATTGAGTTTATTTTCAAAAAAAAAAAAAAAATAAAAAATAAAAAAACAAATGCATAGAATTTAAGTATTGGGGATTTGGAGTTTTGTGGTGAAATGCTGCAAAATAACTCTTAAATTAAACTTCCTCCGTTTCTTATTAGATGACACGTTTCATTTTGACGCACAAAGGAGGAGTGAAAGAGAAAATCAAAAGACAAATATACCCTTACTCTCCCTTTTCCCACCTACTCTTCTCCTTCTCCTTGTTCAGTGAACCGAACCAACATCCAGCAAGGCAACAACTAATTAAGCTACGGCCCACCAGGCCACCACCACCTTGGCCTTTGTCTGTACATAAGCAACTGCCACCCCCACCATGTCTAACCTTAGCTGCCGCTACCCAATGCAACTGTCTCCTTTCAAGCTCATCAGTCATAACTACACAATTTAAAACTATCAGACTTAAATTCGAATCCAAAATAACCACCTTTAATTTGACGGCGAAGTTACTAACAACTGTTAGGTTTACAGTGAATTTCTAACAAGAATTCACTTATAATATCAAGAAATACTTAATAAAATGTGTGGGAAACAAAACCTAAAGATATTATTACAAGACAAAATAATGTAATTAAACAAACACAACAATGGTGTTCCAATCAAGTATTATAATCTATGAAATTACAGAAATTTCAAGGGAAACACTAGTATGAAGACTTAAACACTTGCCTAAACTCCAAACCAATCAACGAACACATGAACATGAGAATCGCGATGTCCCTTGAGACTATGACCTTGATACACTGTCAAAGGCGTATGAATACTTTCCTAAAGGGATTAATTTCCCCCACACGGTGCTTGGGTTGATCCGGAAATTCCCTTTGAGATACAATTGACAGCACTTTCCGTTCTTAGCACAAAGAATCGAAAACCGATGGATGATTCACAACGAAGACTAAAATCAAGAGGTTTTATAAAATAGAATCAACCGTCGTATAAAACCGCAAAACGGCAAGAAGCGCGGGCGCGAGCGAAGAGGCGCGGGCGCGCCACACAGAAGCGCGGGCGCTCCACCAGGAGGAGCGGGCGCTCCTATTCTGGAATCCCAACTTTCTGATTTTCCAGGAAGTTGCCGCGATTTTAGCGCGGTTTAGGCGCGGGTCGCGCCATGCCATGACGCGGGCGCGCCAACCGGAGGCACGGGCGCGCCTCCAAACTTTTCCAGAATTTCCAGAAACTCATCGCGGTTTATGCGCGGTTTTGTCGCGGGTCGCGCCTAGCTGGCGCGAGCGCGATTCAGGAGAGCGAGCGCTCCTTCGACACTCTAAATTATCAACAACAACAATAGTGGAAGACAACTTTAATTACATGTAATTACAACCCGAATCCATAGTCTAAAAAAAACCGAAATCCTTTGAAGTTTCAAACTAAGTTGCACAGAAACGGATACGCGTACAAAAACGGGTACGGGGACGGGGACGAAAAACGGCAAAACGAAAATTCCTAAAAACGGGTACGGCAAAAAAAATCAGAAATATTAAAATTCATACGATGTTTATAAAATAATCCATACAATGTTTTTATAAAGGAAAAAAATAGGGGTAATACCAAGTTCCCTCTAGGTTTTCCTTGGGAGGGTTTCGTTCTAGTGCTTGACTAGGGTTTCCTTTTCTTGAGGTTTTTCTCGATTTGTATCGAGTTCTTGCACGTTTTTTGTTGATTGATCGTTTTAGATTACTGATAATGGCGAATTTAGACTATAATTATCTATCTCTCATAAAACCTGTTGACGAATAAGATGTTATCACGGAGGCTTCGAAAGCAGAGAAGGTGGAGGAAGTTATTGAATGGGATGATAATGGTGAAGATGATGAGGATGCTCGTATAGAACTTGCTTTGGTAGGGAAAATTTGGACGAATAGAAATGTGAATGCTAACGCATTCATAGCAACAATGAAGGAAGTATGGCATCTAAACATGGCGTTGATATCTCGAACATTGGGAAAAAATGTTCATGTTCAAATTTCATCATTGGAGGGACAAATTAAATACAAGGTGTTGGAAGAACAACCTTGGCATTTTGACAGTCATGCTTTGATTCTTGGAGAGACGACGGATACGATTAAACCCTCTGAAACTCAACTCCATTTTCTGCCAATGTGGATTAGGGTTTACAACCCCCCCCCTTAAGGGGCGGCTTAATCTGAGTAATGTGGAGAAAATAGGAAATAAATTGGGAACGTTTGTTAAGATGGATAATTCTGCTCAGAATGGGATTGACAAATCAATTCGAATTTGTGTGCCTTGTTGATGTTCGTAAACCCCTTGCAAAATCAATTAGATTAAAGATGAGAGGAGGAATGGAGGATAGCTTTGATGTTCGATATGAAAAACCCCCTATTTTCTGTTTGTATTGCGGGAGAATGGGGCATGGAGTGAAGGATTGTGATGACTGTAGAGAAGTTGAGGAGCCGGTGTTTTCTTATGGGGTGTGGATGAAAGCATCACCATGGAAATATAGTACCAATTACAAGAGAGAAGAGAGCAGGAAGGAGGGAGGAAGTTGCGCGAGACCCCTGTTCATTACGAAGCCAAAATAGCATGTTGAACAGCTTAACCCCTACACAAAGGTGAATGAGGTAGTAGATAAACTAGGCGGAGTTGAATTAAGTAGTTCTGAGGGAGATAAGAATATCTCACTTCACCAAAGTAGTGAGATATTTATGTTTAGCAGTGGAGAAAATATAAAGAATTTGGTTGTTTCGCACCTTGATGTGAGTAAGGGGAGTAGTGGAGAAGGTTTCTGGGAAGATATGGAAGCGAAACCCGAGAGACAGTGATCATAGTATGGAAGGTGAGCTGAAACTATCAGAAGAGAAAAGGAGGGGTCGTGATGATGGAGGGAGCATTAATAATCTGATGGCAATAGATGATAATGATAGAAGCAAGAGGAGAGTTGTTGCACAAATGGTTGATCGAGTGGCGAGCCCCACCAATAGGGCTCTCCGTGAACAATGAGTTACACCCTCTCATGGAATTGTAGAGGCCTGGGGAGCACCTCTGGAATTAATACTCTGAAACGTGTGGTGTTTCTAGAGAGCCCCCAATTGGTGTTTCTTTCGGAGACACGCTTGAAGAGGCATGAGCTTGAAAAAATTAAAAATAAGTTGAATTGCAATGCTGCTTTGATTGTTGAATGTGAAGGTGAAGGGAGAAGAAGGAGAGGTGGTCTTGCGCTATTGTGGAAAAATCCTTTGGATGTGATTGTTAGACCTTTCTCCCAAAATCACATTGATGTTTGGGTGAACTCGGCTTTACATGATGGATGGAGATACACTGGTGTAGTGGTGTCTATGGGTACCCCGAGGAGGAGAACAAGCACAAGACGGGAATTTTACTGAAAAATCTGATGGATACGAATGGAGAACCGTGGTTGTGTGGAGGAGATTTTAACCTCATGTTGCTTTCTAGTGAGAAACAAGGTGGCTGAGACTTTTGTAATGTAGAAGCTGAAATTTTGCACGAAGCTGTACAATTCTGCCAGTTAATTGATATTGGCTACATTGGTCATGACTTTACTTGGACCAATAACAGGGGAGGCATCGAAAATGTACAAGAACGGCTGGATCGTTTCTTTGCTAATCAAGCATGGAAGGACTGCTTTCCAGGCTCCTTTGTCACGCATCTTTCCAAGAGATGGTCAAACCATCTTCCTATATTATTATGCATCAAAGAAGCCTTACACACCCCGAAGAAAAAAGAAGAAGAAGGTAAGGCTTTATCGCTTTGAGGAGATGTGGCTGAGGGATGAAAATTGTGCTGCTATTGTAGAAAATGCGTGGGATAGGGGAGCTGAGGTGACATTTGCTCAAAAATTGCTTTCACTTCGGCAAATTTGAGTGCTTGGAGTATGGAAAAATTTGAAGACTTTGTTAAAGAGATGAAAGATTGTAGAGCGAACATGGAGAGTCTTATGAGAGAGACTCAAACGGATAAGGTGATCGCTCAAATGCGAGCTATAGATGATCGGATGGATGAGTTGGAGCGGAGGGAGGAATTTTACTGGAAGCAAAGAAGCCAGGAGGAATGGTTAAAAAATGGGGACAAAAATACAACCTTCTTTCATAATAAGGCAAATCAGAGAGCCGAGAGAAATAACATATATAAAATAACAAATGTGGCTGGTAGTACTTTCTTTTATGAGGATCAGATTTCCGCGGTTTTGGTGGACTACTTCACTGATCTTTTCGCCTCTATTAGCCATGTTGAGGTGGAGCCTTTCATTGACAAGGTGGAGGAGAAGGTCATTGATAGATAACGCGCCACATTGTCTACCCCGTACAATGCCGAGGAGGTTCGAGAAGCCCTGTTCTAAATGCATCCCACAAAAGCACCTGGCCCCGATGGTATGTCGGCTATCTTTTTTCAAAAATTCGATCTGGGATATTGTTGGTGTTGATGTTGTTGGGAAAGTACTTGATATTTTCATTAATAATGGTGACATAAGCTCTATTAATCAGACTCACATTGTTCTCATTCCGAAAAAAAAAAATCTTGTGAATCTCCTGATGATTATAGACCTATTAGTTTGTGTAATGTGTTTTATAAAATTGTCACCAAGGTGCTTGCTAATCGTTTAAAAATAGTTCCCCCTTTGATTATTCATGAATCCCAGTATGGCTTTGATCCGAGACGATTGATTACTGATAATGTGTTGGTTGCATATGAGTGTTTTCACTATCTTAGAGAAAAAAAAAAGAAGGGGAAAAAGGGCTATTTGGGTTTGAAGTTAGATATGAGCAAGGCCTATGATCGTGTTGAGTGGAGCTTCTTGGAAAAAATAATGTTGAAATTGGGTTTGCCGGAAAATTATGCCAGCATGATCATGAGATGCGTCAGTACTGCTTCTTTTGATGTCCTAGTTAACGGGCAACCTTCGAAATCTTTTGTGCCTAGCCGGGGGTTGAGACAAGGTGATCCCTTATCACCTTTTCTTTTCATTATGTGTGCGGAAGGTTTGTCTGCTTTAATTAGAGATGTTGAAACTAGAAGACTTATTCACGGTTTTAAAATTGGTCGGCATGTTAATCCGATATCTCATCTTTTCTTTGCAGATGATAGTCTTCTGTTTATTCGGGCTAATGAAGATGAAGTGGACAATGTGCTCGGAATTCTTTCAACTTATGAAGTTGCTTCTTGTCAGAAATTGAATATGGATAAACCGGAGATGTCCTTTAATTAGCCGAAACATTGAGCAAGAACGGAAAAATATTCTTCAGATGAAGTTATCCTTTAAGGCTGTCGAGGGACATGACAAATATTTGGGACTACCACCCTACATTGGTCGCTCTAAAAAACAGGTTTTTCAAAATATTCAGGATCGATCTAGAAAATATTGAAGGGTTGGAAAGAAAAATATTTATCTCAAGCAGGGAGGGAGGTTTTGATCAAGTCAATAACCCAAGCAATTCCCACTTATGCAATGCAATGTTTCTCCATTCCGATGAGCATCTTGAATGAGGTTGAGAAGTTGTGCCGTAACTTCTTTTGGGGTCAAAAAGGGGATGAGAGAAAGATGAATTGGGTGGCTTGGGATAAGCTTTACATTCCAAAGAAGCAAGGTGGTCTTAGATTCTGGAATATGAAAAGCTTCAATAGAGCTCTCCTTGCTAAACAAGCATGACGCATTCTCACTAAGGAAGACTCCTTCTCAAAGGAAATATTTCCCGAACACATCTTTCATGGAAGCTAAAATTTCCTCTAATTTGAGCTACACTTGGAGATCAATTTTAGGGCTCGTGATGTCCTTTCGAAAGGCATTAGGAAGATTGTGGGGGAATGGTACATCTCTTGACATATGGAAGGACCCGTGGGTTCCTAGTCTCACTGGATTTTGTGTGTTGAGCAGTCGTGGTTCGAATGATGACAGTCCAGCCAATGTACGTGACTTAATAGATAATAGAAGGTGGAATTTGCATACTCTCAATTCCATCTTCTTACCGTTGGAAGTGCAGGAAATTCGCAGCAATATTCCCATCCCCCTCTTTGACAGTCCGGATTCATGGACTTGGCATTGGACTAAGGATGGAAGATTTTCTGTTAAGAGCGCGTACAATTTGCTTATTATGGAGAGTGATTGAGAGACAACTACTACCTCTTCAGCTATGGTTGCCTTTGACTGGAATTTATATGGAATGCTGACATCCCCCCTAAGATTAAAATTTTTTGTTGGCGTGCAGTGAGGGGGGCTGTTGCAGCTTGGGCAAATCTGATTAGACGGGGTATGCTTGTGGATTTTACATGTCCAATGTGTGGTGATTCGCAAGAATCAATTTTGCATATGCTGGTGTCTTGTAATGAGGCAAAACTCCTTTGAGGCTGGAAGTAGAGAATTTTGAAGGCAACAACTTTGTTGAGTGGTGTGGCAAGGTGAGAGTGACGTTTAAGGACCACTGTTGGTGGAACATTTTTTGGAGCTTGGTGGGGGAATTTGGTTACGCAGGAACGCTTGGGTTTATGATGGCAAGAAGAAAGATATGGCTGATGTTATTTATAAAGCTGGTAGCATTGTAGGAGAATTTGAGAATGTAAAAGAGCAAGAGTGCAAGAATGCCAATGCCAAAGTTCTGGAATGCCGCTGGAAAGCTCCTCCTTCTGGTTTTATCAAGGTAATTAAACTCTGACGCTGCCATTTTCACTTCAAATATGGTGGGTTAAGGGGGGGTAATGCGGGATGATGTGGGGGATGTTGTTGCATCCACTTGCTTACAGATTGAAGGCAAATTTGCTGTGGATGTGGCCGAGGCTATGGCTTTGAGACACTCTTTAGTGATTACTATGGAGTCGGGCTTTTTGAAGGTGTGTCTGGAAACTGACAACCTCAAGGTGTATCATAGTTCATGCCATTCTTCTGCTTGATAGTTCCTGCCATTCTTGTACTTATGCCTTTGTGAAGAGAGATGGAAATCGGGTAGCTCATAGTTTAGCTAAGCTTAGTTGCAATTTTAATTCTCTTAGAGTATGGTTAGAAGAGTATCCAAGTGAGATACATGATTTTGTAATGGATGACTTAAGCCTTTCTTCTGATTAATATTTTTGCTTGTTATCCCGTAAAAAAAATGTTTTTAAAAAGGAAAAAAACTCCTAAATTCTACTGAATATGAGTCATAGTAATACACGTGGAGTAAGTAAGACTAAAAAAGAAAAAAGGGAGTGAAAAAAACTTACAGAATTACAACTATTTTTTTTTTTTAAAAATACAATTACAGATTTACAGCTAACTTACCTATTCCACGTGATAATGCTTTACCATTTCCAATTCCACATTTTATAATTCTACTAGTACAGTACTTTATATCAATATTTTATTGGGGACGTCGAAAAAGAAGGTAATCCGTCCCCGAAACGTCTCTGAAGTTGCTCCCAGCCGTCCCCAAATTTTCTTCCCGTACCACTTTTCAAGGGTACGCCTTGGGGATGTATTCGGGCCGTACCCGTACTCGATACGTCCCCGGTACGGGAAACGCCAAGAGGTTGGCGTATTCGTGTATCATTGGTTTCAAATGAAGTATAATCCAAACCCATTTTGCTCGACGGAGAGTAAGAGGCGTTTCCTTCAAAAACTTGGGTTGACGGTGGAATCGGTGGCGAGAGGTTGACGGTGAAATAGTGGAATTGGTGGCGTTAGATTTCCGAGTGGTGGAATTGGTTGGTATGATGAGAAGGGGGTTGACGGGTGGTGGAATTAGTGTTAAAGGGGTTGATGGGTGGTTGAAATGGTGGTGGTGGAATGACTAGTGGTGGTCCGGTGAAGAGAGTGAAGTTGGATGTTTGAGTGTTTGTGGAGAAGATGATGACATGTGAAGGGTGGAGAGAGAATATTAGTTGGAAAAATTGAGGTTAAAACAGACATTTTACGACACAAATATTACCTAAAACGGAAACGTGTCAACTAAAAAAAAACTTCCTAATAAAATGGAGGTAGTATTATAGATTGCGCGACTTTTGACAGTCGTATATTGCGGAAATTGCGACCGTTTACATACGTTTTTGTGGCTGTGTTACCTATCGTAAATACATAGGTTTTATTGTTAAAAAGAAAAAAGAAAAAAGGGTTACAACCGGTCTGTAGCAGAACCGGTCGTAGATTTTTGAAAAAAGAATTTAAACAAAACAAAACTGAGTTTCAACAAAGAAGGGGAAAGAGGGCAACAACGAAGAAGGCGAAAACAGTCGCTGACCCAAGCAACTCCTCCCACCGACGCGACGTCCTCCAGCCGGCGACGCTCCTCGTCGGTAAGTGTTCTGAATTTATTTATTTATTTATTTTATTTTATTTTCGTTAATTTGTGCGAAAAAAACCCTAACTTTGGGTCGCAAATCAACCCCTTTCGCAGGACCACCGTCGCTGGATATATTCATTGCCTGTCCCTCCGCCTTTTTCCGTCGCCATCACCCAGGTAAACCGTCTGATTTTATTTTTTTTTTATTTTTTTTTATTATTATTATAAATTTCGTTAATTAGTGCGGAAAACCTTAAATTTGGGTCGCGAACCACCTTCGCGGGAGCACCGTCGCCGGCGATCCTTACTGCCCCTCCCTTCTCCTTTTTTCGTCGGCCACCCATGTAAGCCGTCTGATTTTTTATTATTTTTTTTATTTCTTTTAGGTTCTCCAAAAACCCTAACTTACACTACGTATTCAGGACCACCTCCGTCGCCACCTCTGCTTTCCCGATCATCTCCGGCACCGTCTGTTTCCTCTCCTTCTTGTTTAACTACTTTCTATAATTGTGCAATTTGATTTATATTTATGTTGTGACGGTGGCAAAAAACTGTTTTTTTTTAGTTGTGACCAGGGGCGGATCTAGTAGGGGTCCTGATTTTTTGAAAAAAATTGAAAAGTTTTTTTTTTATAAATAGAATATATGTGTGATATATGTCATGAAGTTCAGCTGTAGCCCAGCGGCATTTTTTACCTCCCAACAAACACGAGTTTGTGTGTTCAAATCCCATACCTCACAATTTTTTTTTTCTTTTTGTTTCATTTGCCTGTTTCCTCTCATTTCGACATTTCCATTCTCTCATTTGTCATTTTCCCCAAATTGTAAAACCGTAACTAGTAAATCCCCTAAATCCTCAGCCCGTAAGCCGCCGCCGTTCACCGCTCCGGCCTCCCGTGCTCGGTGCTCCACTGCTCCGTCATCCACTCATCCATATTCCGTGGCTCTGTAGGTGAATAACTGAATTTTTACTTCTTAATTTCTTATATTTTACATACTATTTGTTTTGTTAATTTGTTTACAGATTTATATCTTGAATTCTTGATAATAAATTATGATGTATTGATTTTTATTATCTAAAAAAAATTTGAAAAAAGATTTTATGCAAATATGCAATTCGTATGTTTTGTTAATGGGTTTGGATTTTGGAAGTTGGAACCCACTTTTCTGGAATTAATAATCCCAGAAATACTTTCAAGTTATTCAAATCAATATCAAATTATCAATGAATATACCATTAATTCTTGATAATACATGTATGTTTGTTGTGGGAATTTGAGATATAATGAATTAATGATATATAATGTAAAATTGTAGATTGTGCCATTGTGGAGTATATACCATGAGTTTAGAGTATTTATAATACAAAATTCTTGATAATACAATTTTTTTTTTTCTATTTGTATTGTGTAATTTATTTGCAATCCATGATTGGAACTTATGTACTGAATATTTAATTATTATATTTTCATTCCATTGTTAATTACGATTCTGAACTTTTGAAATTTCGAACCCCCTATTTGGAAATCCCGGAGACGCCACTGGTTGTGACAGTTGCTAATTAAGGTTTAATCAATCTTATGGTAAATGATTTGATTGTAATTATGGGTTCGTTGCTTATTTTATTTATGATCGAAGGAAAACCAAACAGAATACTCTTCAATAATATTAAGCTACTAACCTAACTATAGAACTAAAGTAATTATGCAATTTTATTATAATAATTCAATTTTATATTTTCATGTATTATTATATTGAAAATATATTGTTATAATAATATCGTGTTTTGACTATTGCATGTCCTTAGTGTTTGGAGTTTACACGTAAACTGTGAGTTATGACGGAACAAGAGAAGGTCAGTGTGCTTATTTTTCTTGTCCCTTTTTAGGGAAGTTAAGTTCTTGTCAAGGGATCAAGTTCTTCTATGGTTAAAGGGAGTTAACTTCTGCATGCATAATTAAGTGATTTTTTCTCTTTTTTCTTTTTGAATATGAAGGTGGTAACTGATATGGATGACTTTGACTTATTCAATAATAGTAAGGAATGGAACAATTTTTACAAGAGGAAAAAAAAATCATCTGCTGTAGAATGGTATTTATCGTGGGATGAATTGAGCCCCGATATTATGCCTAATCTCGAAAATCTACAATCACCTAATATACTTGTTCCGGCTTGTGGCGATTCAAGAGTAAGTGAGCAACTTTATTCGAGTGGCTTCCTTAATATCACTAATGTGGATTATTCGAGTGAGTTGATCGAGACAATGAAGAATCAACACAGAGAAAAAGTTGGAATGCAATGGCTAACAAAGGATGTTCTAGCCCCACTTCAGGTTCGATCAATTATTTAGTACGAAGAGCATTATATTATGATTACCTTTTATGCTGAACTAACCTATAATTTTGAATTACTCGAGACAATGATTTTTTTTTTTGTTTTGTTATTTACAGGAGTCACCTATTCTCATTCCAAGGTCGTATGATGTAATTTTGGACAAAGGGTGCTTTGACTTCCTTTGTTTATGGGCTGATCTCATGAGTAAGGGTGACAAGTGTCTTGATCAATATCTTCACAATGTTAGTTATATATTTATTTCAAGTTTATGTTATAAAATATCTAATTTCATTATTTTTATTGACTAAATTAAATTTTCCTTGATCTAAATAGGTGAAAGATCTATTAGGGTTCAGAGGCAAATTCATAATCCTAACAAGATTATATTGGGAAAATACACTGGGTATTGAATATAAATTTTATTTATTTATTTCCAAACTTTATAAATAATTTTTGCTTTTAATATATTCTCCTGTTTTTTAATCAGCTTTTTTGTACCATCGATTTTGGTTGGGGTGGAAATTGACTTTGCAAAGGGTATTTCCGCAAAAAGATTCTGATGAAATGGCGGTGATGTTTGTTATCGAGAAGTGTACCAATGGACTTATATATAACATCATTCAGGTACGTGTACATTAGAGAAATAACAATTTTATTTTGGGATTATTTCCTTAACAATAAATCTGTATGAGAATCTGTTTGAGATATTATAATATCTTTATGATTTGCTGAATTTTATTTATATGAGATATATATGTTTTAGGAATATTGTTTCCTATCTTAATTTATCTTAGGTGGTATAATTTATCTTAGAGATGAGAATTCAGCCTTAATTGAAGATGTTCAAGGATGGAAGTTAATCTGGAGGCTTCCTGTACCTCAGAGAATCAGATTTATTTTTTGTTTAGTTGGCTGTTCAAGGAAGACTAATGACTAACAAATTAGATTCATTAGATCCTTAACTGATGACCCTCGTTGTAAGATGTGTGGTGCCAATGAAGAATCAGAAATTCACATCTTAAAAAACTGTCCTGCTGCTCGTATAGTTTGGCAGAAATTGGGTGGGAGTTCTGTTTTCAACTTGAGTAATAATCCTGTGATGGAATGGGTGCTTGAGAACATTGAAAGTGGTGATGTGTTGAGAGGTGAGGAATGGCCGAGAGTGTTTGCTGTTGTGTGTTGGTGGTTATGGATGGAGGTGGCGCAACGAAAGATGTTTCAATAATGAGCCAAGGATTCCAGTTGACCAAGTTGGCTTTATATTTTCTCGGGTTGGTCTAATTAAACAAGCTATGGAGAGGGGAAATATGCTGCTCGATCAGGGAGGCAAAAGGAGAAGGGAACATGCTTATATTAGACATAGGGTGGGTTAAACTTAATACTGATGCGGCAAAAGGTGATCCTGGTGCAGCAGGAGCTGGGGGACTGATTCGTGGAAGCTCAGGGGAGTTGTTTGAATATTTTGCTGTCAAATGTGGAGTATGCACATGTACTAAGGCCGAGTTAATGGCTGTTATGCGAGGCTTGCAGATAGCTTGGGAGGGAGGGCATCGAAAAGTTCACATATTGGTGGATTTTGAGGTAATAGCTAGCATGTTAGTGGATGAAATTCCGACCAACTTTCCATACATTTATATGATTCGAAAATGCAAGGCACTTATTGAGACAGGGACTGGGAAGTAGTGTCGTCTCACTGTTGGGCAGCCGATTGGCTTGAAAACTATGGGGTGACGGCGGAGCGAAACCTAATCATGTTTGAGGCGATCCCGAAGGATCTTCATGTAGTTTTATTGGAGGACTTGGGATGTGTTGCTCTTCCTCGTATGGTGCCGAGCAATAGGAATAACCTGATCGTGTTTTGCGATGGCTAGCTGGGGCTGTTTCTCAGCCTTAGTTTTTTTTTTTACTTTGCTCTGCTTGTTTTTCTTTTGTTCTTTTGCTGGTGTGTTTGTTTCTTTTGTTTTGAGGTTGTTTTTTGTTTAATGAATGGGGTTTTGCCCCTCTCCTTCACCCAAAAAGAAAAAAAAAAAAAAAAAAAATCTTAGCTGTGCATTGATGAATTATATAATAGACAAACCTTTTCACTTTGGCCTAAATAATTTCTTATCAGAATCTCAAATGATAATATAATCATGGGTTCCACACATATGCAGTTTAACTAGAAGTCTACATGAGTAATTTGGCACCATTTTACTTGCTGATTTTTAAACTGACCTTTTATTAATAAGGCAGGTTATTATTTGCTAAGTCTGATATATTAATTAATTGACTTTTTCAGGATGATAAAAATCATAAAACTCTATCCGCTGAGGTTGACCAGGAGAACAAATCAATTGACAACTATAGGAAGAGGGCCAAATCAAAAGAGGACTTTGAACGTTCCTTAAGAGGCAAAGGGGTCGAAAATTGCTGTGAGGTTGATGATGGTGATTATCGAATAATTGTGTTAATAGATAGTAATAAGTTCCATGACGTTAAAAAGGTTGATGTTCTTTGGGTACCAGAGGTAAGAATTAATGTTCCAATTTTTCGATCCTTAACATTTGAGTGTACGTGTGAGATTATTATTGTTCGAATTCTTGAATTTTTCCAATAAAATTAAGTTGCATAGTATATGATGCTCTATTGTATAATGATTTTTTCAGGATGATCTGGTGTTACATTCAAATGCGCTAACCAATTCTAAGTATTGGCAATTAGAGCATTTTTTTTCCACCGTGACTAGAGCATCTGCATTGTTGTTTATTGTAAGTAATTTAGTTTTTTATTTTGTTATTTTCTTCCCTTTTTTTTTTTTTTTTAATCCTTTTAGATTATATAACCCTATTAACATAAGTTATGTAAGATAGTTAGATCAAACTCACATAAGAACTTTTTAATTAGCTTTAGATTAGAGCCTATACTTCCATAAATTTTCCTTTTTCCTTATGAGGATAAGATTTTCACTATTCTTAATTGGTTGTTTCATTGTTGTATTTCCACCTATATATGACTTTTATTTCTCCAAATCCAAGAATTTGAGCTTTTGTTACCAAATTTGTTTGCTACTATAGCTTCCCATTAGAAAAAAAATAGTGTTAAATTAAAAATGGATTAGAGATTTTCTAACTTCAAGTTTTTTTCAACTTATCACATGATGGGTGATCATTATTGAATATGTTGCATTGTATATACAGTGTAGGATATGATGCTCATAAATTGTGTAAATGTAATATATATGCTTGTACAGTATCCGACTTTGTGGTATATATACAAAATGTGTTTCTTGACTTAGTTTCTTGTAATTTTAGGTTCTGTCTCCCAAGTTACAATTACATTTGCAAAGTGACACGCAAATGGATAAAATTCGTTTGGTAATTAATAATCTAGCCATTACAATCTTTGATGATTTATTCTACTACGTATTATTATTAAATGTCGTCATCTCAATAATTATGAATGACGTGACTATGCAGGATTTGAAGCCACTGTTGGAAACTATTGATCCAAAAATTCAAGTAGGCTGGTATGTAACTACAATTTAATTAGGTTCTAGCTAATGACATACATGCAATTAACCATTTTTGTCACACTACACTGATATTATAATTTGTGTTTCTTATTTTTTTTTTTAAGGCTCAAAATGTGGAATGAAGAACATCAAAAAAAAACTGACGGATATTGGTTTCCTACCTACCCCTCCAAGTTCAAAGCCTACCCCTCGAAGTTCAAAGGCTTCCAAGAAGGTAAATGACTTACTTCTTTGATTGCTACAATATGATACGAGTAAATAATATATGGAATATAGTATGTATGTAAACACTGTACTGTACTATACATATGCTACCCATAAAATTAACTAAGATGTAGATAGTGGGTGTATGTGTTTCATTTATGTTAGCTATTTCATTTACATATCTTTAAGTAGTATTTCCATTCTAAATGAATTGATTCATGAGCAATATATATATCTATAAATGTTTCTTTACTTTACTTAGTGTATGTAAGTTTGTTAATGTGGAGAGTTCGTTAATTCTCAATCTCCAGCTAATAAATTAATGTTTAATGATGGGTTATATATATACGATATATTTGTTTTCAATATTTTGTAGGGTTCCAAAAAAAGTGGCACATCCAAGGGAAAAGAAAAGCTAGAAAAGGATGATAATTCTTTTGGGAAAGATTTGAATGAGGAGTCAATAGTAGTTGTTGGGGATTTGGATAAGGTGGATGAAGTGGTGGATAAGGTGGTGGATGAAGTGTTAGATGAGAAAGTGGACCTCATTGAACAAACATCTACAGGAGGAATGGCACTCCCACCGTTAGATTTTCCAATCTTTCATGATGGCGATCCAATTTCATACTATTCAAAATCGTTCACCATTGCATCTTGGTTAAAAGATCATGAAAAGAAAGAAGATAGGTGGCTAGGTGAATATGTTAAATGGAAAGATATATTGCCCCAAGTCGAGTGTCCTAATCTTTTGAAACGTGAATCTTTGAGAATCATGCAAAGTATCGTAATAGGGGTGCTTGACTATCATGAGAAATATGGTGCTCATGATGGTTTGCATGATTGGACAAACATTTTGATCACACAAGTTGTTATCAATCATATTGGCTCCAAAATTGTTAGGTTTGAGACCAAACTATCACCTCGAGATAGAGTGACATTTGATGATTCCTTGATGATATTGAAAAAGCGAGGTGATATGCAGAATGTCTTGCTAATCATGGAGAAACTACTTGAAGGAGTAACCAAAAATTCTGAATTAAAATACTTGGGCGATCTTCTGTTTCATTATCCCTATGAAGGGAAGCTCAATTGGAAGACACTGTTGCTTAAAAACTATCCAGCCTTTTGGGATGGCCTAGAAAGAGCTGAATTTTCGGTCACCTTGTATTTTCATTTGGTCTCCAATCCCAATTTTAGGGACACTCTCAAATGGTCCATCCGACTAAGCAGCGAGTATCTACATGGTTGGATATCACGAATTCCACCTGACACTATTTTTGAAAAGGTATCTATTAGATTACACTTTAGTATTAGGTGCTTGTTTTTTGTTTTTTGATTTTTTTTTTGGGTACTATTAACCTTGTTAATGATCTATAGTTGTGTTTCAAAAATTTTAATAGATTTTGTGTGGAGATGATTCGAATGAGGACCAATTTCGGGTGAAAAAGTATACAGAAGGTGATATCACTGAAGTAGTACGATACATGAGGGCGACAGTGCACCACTTCCGGGAGAAAGGAGGAGCTGATCTTGATTTGCGCTATATAGAAGCTGCACTGTCTCACTTATTCGAAAACTACATAATGGAGATTTATAGTAGAATGTGTCAGAATAGATTTTTTTTATTGTGATAAGTGCATGAAAAGAGGCATACAATTGACTTCTATGTTTCTGCCTCTTCTGCTGGGTGTCTACTGCTGGATGCTGGTCAGGGTATTTCTGTGATGTACAGGCTGCTGTTGGTTCCTGATTTTGCAAGCTTCTGTTGGTGCTGTTGTTCGATTGCTGGTTGCTGTTCTGGTTATGCTGTTGGCTACTGTGTTGCTCTCTTTTCTGGTTGCTGCAGCCTGGGTTTGGTGCTTCTGGTTGCTTGCTACTTCGTTTTTCTGCTGTTCTGCTGTTGCTGGCTGTTTGGGGTGCTCTGCTGGTGCTCAAGGTTGCTGCTTCTGCTGTCCTCTTGCTGCACCGTGGCTGTTTTTCAGTCAGCTTTGGGATTCTGAGTTCTCAATGTGTTTTTTGGGATTGTAAAGATGTGGATGTTGTTTGAAAGGCTTTTTTTGCTATAGCTTGTTGGTGCTCCATCATTATTAGTTTGCTGCGTTTCTTGTATTGTTTCTGGCAGATTTGGTGTTCTTTGTTTTAGGTGCTTTTGTCTGGTCCTGGCTTTCTAGAACCCTTCCTAGAAGGTGGCTAAGCTTGAACCTTGAACTGTGTGGTTGGTGGTTTGGCCTTCTAGGTCTTGTTTAGTTTGAGTTTTTTGCTGGTTGCAGCTTTGCTTTTGTAAGTTGTAACTATCTTTCTTTGGTAAATTTCTATTTACCAAAAAAAAAAAAAAAAAAAAAAGTTTATCTTTTGAGCAGCAAGTTTCTAAATGTTGTAATATATCTCTCTGACTGCTGTACTTGGATGTTTGGCTATGGCCTAATATATATAAGTTCGTTTCCTTTGTGTAAAAAAAAAACTTCTATGTTTCTGATATTATTATATACTACTATAGTACTACACTACTACTTCGACGTAGTATATGTTTTATGATCTAAGCTTGTAAAGTTGTAACATATCCTATTATCCTCCCAAGCTCTAATACACTTCAAGTATTTTTCGTTTTGCTTAGACAACACAGCCTACAATGTGTAGGTTTCTTATTTTCGACTCTATAAGTATTCACATTTCACAATGACTAGTTGTGGTTCCGCGCGCTACGCGCGCGGCACCTCAATGGCGGCGATTATTGTTTGTTAATACTGTATTCGGTGTTTTTGTTACATGGTAATTAGGTGTGTGTAGTGTGTTTAATAAGAAATTTAAATCATAAATTATGTTATTTGAAAGTAGTTGTTTAAAATTATAATTAAGTTAATAACATTAAAGTAAAAGGGACTCAGCAAAAGCAACTTTGAGCCGTTGAAACCGAAATGTTGTTGAGATTAAGGGTCTTGAGTTTAATGCAATGGCTGAAACTTCAAATTACATTTATAAGGTATACTGAAAGCAAGCTTCGGGTTTTCAGCAACGGTTTATATTACATGTTTCAGTTTACCGTCTTCAGTTGTCGAGGTCTAGACAAAGTAGTTTCAGTCGCTGAAACCGAGGTATTTCAGATGCGGATGATATTAGCCTAGGTTTAACGTTTGTTTAAAATAAGAAAGTAATGTATACAGTGATTGTGTTTCATGTTAATTCAACTTATTAGTGAAATAATATAAGTAATGTATATGGTGATTGTGTTACAATTATTACCTTTGTTTGTTTTTGTATTAGAATTATTTGTGAAATAATCTAAGAAAGCAATATGTACGGTGATTGTGTTACAATTTGTAATATTGTTAATATTAAGTTGTTGAGTACCGCCGAAGCTTCAAGCTGTATGCTATAGTCGAAGATTCTACCCCGAAAGTATTTCAGCGTACAACTTGCAATCGTTGGGACTCAGCAAAAGCAACTTTGAGCCGCCACCCCAATGGCGGTGATTATTATTAGTGATTATTTTTTTCGGTGTTTCTATTACACAGTAATCTTGTTTGCGTATTGTACGCATATCGCTAAAATTTAAATTGTTAAATGTAATCTAAGAGAAGATTGTTATATTTAAAGTTAGTATATGGGATAGATGTAATTTAAATTATGTTGTTAAAAAGATTTTTTTTGAATTACTATTTTCATAAATAACATTAGATGTTCTATTTTCGCTCGCGGCACCCCAATAACGGCGATTATTATTAGTGATTACTGTATTCGGTGTCTCTGTTACACGATAATTATGTTTGCGTATTCTGTGCATGTCATTAAAAATTTTAGTGTTAAATGTAATCTAAGAGAGACTGTTGCATTCAAAATTAGTATATGAGATAGATGTAAAACAATTTCACTAAAAAAGGTAAGTACGAAAGTACTTCTGTCATAAACAAAAAAGGTAAGAAAAATACTTTTGTACTTTTTATTAGTTGATCTTGAAATTCTTCTTCAGAGGTTTAGGGGTATTCATAGATTTAAAGGTCTCATAATAGAGCCGAATAAGTAATAATAGATCATTGTAAACTACTGATGAAACTGAAGGAAAAAATAACAGCAGAAGGTTTTGAAGTTTGTTGAATAATGCGCTTTTTCTATCTTTTAATCGTGAAGTACAATGATTTAGGCTTTTGCACATTAATATTGTGAACTGATCTCCATGTAAAGTGAGTTAAGAATTGCTACCAAAAAATACATGTATCTAATTAAGGTTCCACTACTAATATATTTGAAGTTGTTTCGAAAGCACTTTTTCTATCTTTTAATCGTGAAGTACAATGATTTAGGCTTTTGCACATTAATATTGTGAACTGATCTCCATGTAAAGTGAGTTAAGAATTGCTACCAAATACATGTATCTAATTAAGGTTCCACTACTAATATATTTGAAGTTGTTTCGAAATAATTAAGTACATTGAAATCATAATGTATATTTGCATTCATTTATAAGAATGTTTACCAAAGTCTTTCGAAATAAGTTGTTGATGTTGCTGCTGCGGCTGCTGAAATCTGCTTCTGCTGAAATCTGCTTCTGCATTGTTGAAATCATCTCCTGCAAAAATAAGCTTAGGCTGATGATTAATCTTCTGCAAAAATAAGCTGCTGAAATAATCTGCTTCTGCTGAAATCTGCTTCTGCTTAAATAATCTGCTTCTGCTAAAATCATCTCCTGCTGAAATAATCTTCTTCTGATATCTGCTTCTGCTGAAATAAGCTGCTGAAATAATCTACTGAAATCTACTACTGCTGAAATAAGCGTCTGTTGATTGTTACTGCTACTGAAATCTGCTTCTGCTGAAATAATCTACTTTTGCTAAATTAAGCCTCAGCCGAAATAATCTGCTTATGCTGAAATCTGCTGCTGAAACCTGTTGTTGCTGCTGAAATAAGCTGCTTCTGCTGCTGAATTAAGTTGATGCTGCTGGAATTAAAATCTTGAAGAAATAAGAAGACCGATGTTGAAATAAGAAGACCGATGCTGAAATAAGTTGCTGAAATATGTTGCTGAAATAGGTTGCTGAAATAAGTTGCTTAAAATCTTGAAGAAGACCGATCTGATGAAATAAGCTGCTGCTGCTAAAATAAGAAGACAGTTGGTAAAATAAGTTGTTGAAATAAGAAGACCGGTGCTGAAATAAGTTGCTCAAAATCTTGAAGAAGACCGATCTGCTAAAATAAGAAGACCGATGCTGAAATAAGTTGCTCAAAATCTTGAAGAAGGGGGTCTGCTGAAATAAGTTGCTGCATATTTTTTAAATTACACACACGTGCAAATGCACATTACATATCTGTAAACTGTCTGCAGTCTCTGAAAAGTCAAAAAGGAAACCCACTAAGCCTAGAAGATGAGGATCATAATGCTGATAAATATTAAATATTCACACATGTTATAGAATAATCAACTTCAGTATGCAGCTTGTGTAGAAAACAGACTCCTAAAAATGTAGAAACTTGTATACTTTTACCGTCACTGATAATCAAAGGCCAGTCCTAAGGATTATCTGAGCAAAAACACACAATAAGTGACCTAGTTCCTACAAAAGCTTTTCTGAAGGTTTCCCAACTTCATGGAAGGGATCACATTCTTAATGTTCATAAGGTGCAACATACCAGAAAGAAGCACACTTTTCTAAAATTAAAAATCATTCCTCTTAATTCAAAGGCAGCACAAAATTAACATGCAATGCAAAATGCTCACGAGAAATAAGAAAATTGAGTAGTAATTATGAAGTCTAAAATACTATCAATATAAGGTTGTTTTTAACGTGCAATGCTAAATGTTTGCGAGAAGATAGAAAATTGAGTAGTAATTATGAAATCTAGAATACTATCAATATTAGGTTTTTTATATTTTATTTAATAGTGCAGCTTCACTTGATATTTGAAATACAAGAAAATTCAATAGTTGTAATAACAGAGATATAGACAGACAAACAAAATGAGAAAAGTGGATCCAAAAAACGTATGTATGGATCAAAACAGAGCAAAAGATACATATCAGAACGCAAGAACAGGACCCAGACCCCAAATTTCCAAAAAAACAACCTAGAAGGTTAACAACATCAGGCTAAAAAGAAACAGCTAATTTGCAGCCAGGTAATGTGGCATGAGCACAAATTATTGCAAATGCATTTAGTTAAATATAAAAAAAATGATAAAATTAGCCAAAACAATCATGTTATAAATGATTAACCTTATTACGGTTCAGCATAACATCCTTATCCATTGCCTTCATTGCGAAGAGTTCTCCTAAACCTTTCAGCTCCACCAAATGAACACTGCAGCGAGCAAAAGATAAAAAAAAATAAAAAATGATGAAGCCAGTAAACTAATTGGCATATAATTCAATTAGCATGCTAGGAAGAAAAAGATCTGACAGTAATTACAATAAACAATATATAGAAGCAACAAAGCAGCAAATTTTAAATTTAAAAAAGATATCAACCAGTAAAGTAATGGTGAAACAAAAATGAATAGAGTATGTTTCGGATGAAAACAATCGAATCTCGGAAGATCCTTTTATCTTGAGGGAACTTGGTCTCGGTCCGAACGACGCCGGAGCCGAGGGTTTCCTGCACAACAAATACACGTAAACTAGCCTCGGGGGGGACGCCGAGGAAGGCCCCTCCGATGCTTAAGTCAGTATATTAGAGAGAGAAAGCTGTGCAAGAGTTTAGTTGCTTGAGGCTTATTGTCTTTGTCTTACTCTTTCTTACCAAGAATTGACCAAATTGTTGGCTTTTATACCTTGGCTAATGAAGGAGGCGGATTGGGCCCGGAAATCAGTTGGGCTGGGCCAAGCTGATTGGGCCGTTGACTGACCTTGACATGGCTTTGAGGATGTTGATTTTTGACTTTAGCATATTTGGAGAGTTGAACCTTTGCCTTGGGCTTTTAATTGGATCATTCAGTGACCAGGCCCAATTGGACTAAATTGGACCCAAACAACTTGCCCCCCAGACCCGATTTGGAAGGATGACGGGTCGGGTTTGATTTAACCAGAAAAGGAGGGAAGTGAATGATTTGCTGATCCAAAAAATGTGAATTTAAACCGTAATTAACCCATGATTAATGAGATAACAACAGTTAATGTGGATGATTGCGGAAGTTGGACGGGTAGTGGGCGATTTAACTGCAAGGTCGTGTGTTTAACGGCTACTTAGTGGGGTGCTTGAGAGAAATTGAAACGCAGACTCCTTGAATTCCCATTTCTGGAGGTATAAATAGAGGCGCGTCTTCTCTCCCCACTCACTCATCAACACAAACCCAGAATTCTCAAGAACGCTCAAGAGCCCGCATCAAAACTTCGCAAATTCCCCGAGCATTAAGCTTAGAAGCTGAGACTTGTCACTACCAATTCGTAAATCGGCGGCTTTTGCTTCAGATCAAGGTAAATTCCTTTGATTTTATTTCATTTTTCCTCGACTTTGCACTCTTTCCCCTTTTTCG